ACAATTCTGTGCCGTTCCACCTTGGCTGGAATGACACAGAGAAGACCATGTACTTCCAGGCACGCTATAACGACAGTCCCTTCAAGCCAAACCCAGGGGAGGCACCATGTGCTGAACTTAGCTACAGGGTCTGTGTAGGCTCGGACGTTACATCCATACACAAGTACATGGTTCGTAGGTACTTTAACAAACCATACAAAGTGCCTGCCAAAGTCATGTTTGAGCATCCAATTTGGTCCACTTGGGCTTTACACAAGCGTGATATAACCCAAGAGAAACTCTTGTCATTTGCTGCCAACATTCGTGAGCATAAATTTAACTGTAGCCACCTTGGACTAGACGATGGCTACACAAGGCACTATGGAGATTTTGAGTTTGACCCAATTAAGTTTCCAAATGCTTCTGCCATGTTCCAAAAGCTGAAATCGGATGGTTTTCAGATCTCTCTCTGGGTTCATCCATTTGTGAACTACGACTCAGAAAACTTCCATACCTGCGTGCAGAGGGGCCTGCTTGTCAGGGAGCCGACAGGCCGGCTACCAGCTTTAGTACAATGGTGGAACGGCATTGGTGGCATTTTGGACTTTACTAACCCAGAAGCACGTGACTGGTTTGCCTCCCAGTTGCGTTCACTGCGTTCAAAGTATGGAGTGTCATCTTTTAAATTTGAAGCAGGGGAGACCAATTACTTACCGTGGAAGTTTAGCACAAAGAATCCAATACGTGACCCAAGCTTTTTCACAAGACGTTACACAGAAATGGCTATTCACTACAATGACAGAGCGGAGATGCGCAGCGGCTATCAGTCCCAAAATATATCCTGCTTCTTCAGACCTATTGACAGAGATTCTGTGTGGGGATATGAGTTGGGTCTGAAGTCTCTCATTCCCACAGTGCTCACCATCAGTATTCTTGGCTATCAGTTTATCCTACCAGACATGATCGGAGGGAATGCCTATCTGAACCACACAGTTGGAGATCGTGTCTTACCTGATCGAGAACTTTACATCCGCTGGTTGGAGCTGTCCGCCTTTATGCCTTCCATGCAGTTTTCCATTCCACCATGGGAATACGACAACGAGGTGGTTGAAATTGCCCGGAAATATACAGCAATTCGTGAACGCATTGTGGCACCGCGGGTGCTAGAGCTGGCAGGTGAGGTTGTGAACACTGGGGATCCGATCATACGTCCTTTGTGGTGGATTGCCACAGGTGATGAGACAGCCTATAAAATTGACTCCCAGTTCTTGATTGGGGATGACCTCATGGTAGCTCCAGTTTTAGAGCCTGGAAAGCAAGAACGTGACATCTACCTTCCCGCTGGCCATTGGAACAGCTACAAGGGAGAGAGATTTGACCTAAAGGAGCCGCTGCACCTTACAGACTATCCTGTTGACTTGGATGAAATTGCCTACTTTCTTTGGGTCTAAAAAAGTTCATTTAATATGGCTGCCAGAAGACATTTTAAGATACATTTTAAAGACTTTTGAAAAGAATGATGCCACACTACAAATGTGACATTGTTTTAGATGGATGCCCAACACTTTTTCTTATTGTTTTAAGTCAAAAATAATAAATGTGCCAGAAGCATTAGCATTCTGCAGTATTAGGACATGGAGAACAATGTTCTTAAAAGTGATAAGCTCAAGTGGGGAAAGTCATGAACGGTTTTTCTTACTGGTGTGCACTTTGGGTAAACCCACTTTGGTGAAACATAGATTAGTTCTGATTGAGCAGCCAAGCTAATATCTAATCACAGGAGACTCAGGATTTATGTCATCTGAAAATGCAATCAAATACATGAATTTGAATTCTGTTCCCCTGGAACTAAAATTACTACAAATGGCTAGCTATGGTGCTGGTTTTCAGCATGTAATCAAGAATTTGATGTAAAACAACCCATGTAATTCCAAAAAGATGGCTGTGTAAAGGTTTATATCATTATTCTTTTTGCTAAAACCACTTAGAGATTTTTGAGATTAGAATTGATTTTGGACTGAAGATTTTCACTTTGGGTGAGTCCTTGCCACAGACATTCTATACCTAGATGCTCAGTGGACTAGTGCTGCCTATTAGAGCTACCATAATGGCCAGCCATCATATTGGATGGGTCTCTATTTTCCCCCAGTGCACTGATGTCTACTGAAGAAGGTGCATATCCAACAAGAAAACATATTTTGTTATGTTTACGCAAAATCAGACTCATGGTATGGGATGATAATTAAAATATAAACATAATTAAACAAAAGTAAATACAAAAAATGTAAAAATTATTAAATCCCAGCAGGTAGACTAGAAAAGTAAATGTGATCTGTTTTCAATAATACGCCGGTTGTTACAGCTGTAGGCTGCACAAAAAATGGGCATAGTAGCTCACTGCGTTGATTTCAGTTGGGCTTGGAGAGTGAGGGACGCTTTTGATGCTCTCCAGCTTCCAAAGGGGCATCTACGTATTCATGTCTATGATCCCCGCTGTGGCTAGTCATTAGCTTGTCAATCCAGTCATAACGAATCTGTTAATCCAAATGGAAGTTGTTCCTGGTCTTAAAGGTTCTTAGCCTTTCTACGTGAACCCACTTTAAAAGGTCTATAAATTGAGACTATATGTACTTATCATGAAAAACCAATCATAATCTAACAGATTTGCCTTAAGCCTAATTAGTAACTAGTTATGGAGCAATATTTATGCAAACTAACACTGCAGTGCTAGTTTGCATAAATATTGCTCATTATAAGCTGTTGTGTGAAGCCAAATCTAATAAGGCTGTGGCTATAAATCGCAAGGTGTTTGAAAGCCTATCAAAAAAGTAACATGAGTGCAGATGTTGCTAATTAATTTTGAGTGTTGCTTCAAGTCTTATGTTAAAAACATGAACAAAAGGAATACATCAACTGTGAATGCCATCTAAAAACTGTTTAGTTTCATAGCTCCATGAGTATCACTTTAGACCAAACAACCCAATGTGAGTTATTTTTGCCATTAAGCAGATTGAAGTCCACATGGCAACGTGTGATATGCGGCTACCGTGTGACACTAATGACTGTTCCACTCCTCTGCTGTTGACACCAAGAAGCCAGGTTTTATGCTTCACTTATCAGTGCAAAGGCTTGAAGTTTAATCATTACAAACTGCCTGTGCTCTCGTTTGTGTAACACAGTGGCTTGTTACTACTTTTAGCCAAGAAGAAGATGCCATTTATGGTCTTCTAAATATTTAATAATCTTCCTCAGGTAACTGCTTTCTCAGGCTTATGTGTGTTTAAAGTGCCTTGCAACCATAATTAATGATGAAGATGGAGTAAAACGGCTGCCAACATGTTTAATAGGTTGCCTGCTACATGAAAAGTTTAGGCTTGTCTGAAGTGTTTTGTGTTTGTGCTGTCAAGGTAAAAATCATGTAAAAAGGTGAAAAGGCTGATGCTTAGTTAGCCTCCTGAGGCCCAAGCTTTCATTTAGTGTGCATTTTTTATTTGACTCAGCTATTTTGGATTAGAAGGACCTTACCAACAAGTTAGTGTTTCAAAAGTTTTTTTTTATTTTCTTTAAATAAATCATTAAAAATAAAAATTTTACATATTTAAATTCAAATCCAGATCTCTGTGAATAATAGGTCTAAATTCAACAGAATGTTTTTTTACAGTGAAGAACCCAACGTCCTTTCAGTTCTAGATCAAAGAACATCATGTACAGCTGAGTATTTTAATATTCACAGATGAAACTAATATCAATCTCATCATACCACTTCACAAAACAGATGCAGAAAGGCAATGGAAACATCTCAAAATGCTTTTTTTTAACTTTTCGATAAAAAAAAATTCAGATCTTTTTCAAAAGATCACTCATCCTAAAAAATAAACTATTTTGTTTAATGATGTAACATTTGGCCCACTTGCGTTTTTGTAATGAAAATGTTATTTCTAGAGATGAAAAGTAAAACATGATGTTAAACTGGTAGTCAAGACGCTTTATTTTTGTCTTATATGCCAGAGCATATTCATTCATTCACTCTGCCTTTGAGATGTTGAGCAGACTTTTCACTTACAGCTTCTGCAAAGCCCTCAGTAACTGTCCGTGTGTCTTTCAACATCACGTCAAAACAAAATCTCAGCTTATTTATAGCGGTTCTCAGTTAGCATCTGGGCCGAGCCGATCTCAGAGGTTATTTCTGTCTCAGACTGTCCTACCTTGTGATCTTCTGCTTCACGGACTAAAGATTTAGTTGCTGTTAGTTCGTTCGACTCTGATTTTTTCAAACTAAGGAATATTTACACGTGATTCATTGGGTGTACTTAATTTTAATGAATTTTTGTATGAATGTGTTAAAATAAACACATCTGTGTCCAAACTTTGTTCTGAAATAACATTTTTAATAACACCAAATGAGTACTTTTGCTTTTACGTTATAGAAAAACAAGTTAAATTCACTTTAATAGCAAAATTAATGCAAAGAAGGCAAAAAAATGACCAAGAGATTTATGTCAGTCATCTGTTCATGCAATTATTGAACCAATAACTGCCTATAACCTCTCATGTGTCTGCAATACATGAAAAATGATGCACCGATTGGTGCAGTAGTGAAAGGCACCCTTGAGGGTCTTCTCCAACTTTTTCGATACTCCTCTCATCATGGGGCAATAATGACAAGGTGATGAAACAACAATGCAGGTTATTTGGAGACTTTGTTGAGATCAATAAATCATTTGGTGGTTCATGATATAAGGTCAGAGAGTGAATGATTCAAAAGTGTCTGGCCAAACACAAAAATAATTAAAAAGAAAAAAGATTCTGCAGCAGCAGCCAGAATCAACGGTGTTTATTAGTTATGGCTTTAAACATTCTTCTTCTTTTGGAGTCCAAGCAGCCTTCATCCCTCACAGCTGTACTCGATCTTTTCATAGGTTTGGGGAATTTATTCCATTTTGCAGCTGTGGGATATGCTTCAGAACAACTTCACTCTATCTGCAGATGTCTCATCTGTCTTCAAAATTGATCTTGACTTGCAGCCTGTGTGGGGAGGACATACACTCATTGATTAGCTGTCTCTGTGTTGCTGGATCAATATTATTTGTTGGTGTGCTTTCTGCAGCCACATTGTTTGATTCTACCCGGTGCTTTGCACGCTGAACAAATAGTTTATGTGAGACTTTCAGAAGCTTTGGCATAAAACAGGAGGTTTTGGAGAAAAATATGACAAAATTGAGCTCTGCATACCAGCACAATGGTTAAATAAGATGGATAAATAATAAAAGTTAAAGTTTGTTAAATGACATGTGTGCTTTTGGTGTCCTAATTTTCTAGCTTTACAAAACATGAAAAATAAAAATGTTGGTTCAGTTTGTGTGATGCTGCATCTGTCCAGCAGGAGGCAGTGTAGCTTTACTTATTTATTCTGTCACTGACATGTTAGTGGACCACGGCCCAGATGTTACACACACACACACACACACACACACACACACACACACACACACACACACACACGCACGCACGCACGCGCGCGCACGCACGCACGCACACACACACACACACACACACGGTCTTGCCAAGCAGGACACATCACTGGCAGAGCACCTCCCCTCGTCCCTCTCCACCTGTGAGCCCACCTGTGTGGCCATCTGCAGAGGAGAGGTGCCAGTTGTTCTGGTTAGGAGCCACTGTGTCTCAAGTACCTGTCCATATCCTCAGAGGGAGACTTTAGTGTCTGTGGACGTCTTCAGTCCGACTCTTGCAGTAAGGCATAAAAACATGGACGTAATTTTCACTTTAGAAGTGGGGGGACACGGGGGGGTGGGGTGGGGGTTGGGGGGGTGGGGGGGTGGAGGGGTATCTTTACAGTATGCTCTAATGGGAAACAGGCTTCAACACAAAAGGTTGTTTTCCGCTTGGTCCTAGAGCTTAACCAGTGTCAATTTAATATAGCTTAATATTGTTTTTGGATGGTAAAAAGTGCAGGGGTCAAAACTTGACTAAAAAGTGTGTGTGTGTGTTGGGGGGGGGACATGTCCCCCCCCCCCCCCCAAAAAAATAAATTACATCCATGCATAAAAAGAAGCTTTGAAGAACTTATTCTAAAACATTGCTAATTATGTCAAAAGTATATATTTTGTTTACATTGCTGTGTTATTATCCTCACTCGAGGAATTTAGTGTGTATGAAATTTTTTTGACGCATTTTATATACAGACAGATTCTGATTTGAAAAGCTAATGCTAATAAGATATTATTACCACATCAAATATCTAATGGAACTTAAAGATGTGATGATGTACAGACTAGAGGTCTCCAACCACCTACATTGGTGTGCACTGTGTTTTATTTAGAAGACAATGCTGTTCTTAAAACATGTTTTTTCTTGTTTTAATGTTAATAAAGTTCAGAACACATATCAGTCAGTGGAAAAGTTGCCGTAACGATTAGGGACCACTTGTACGGATCATTTAAAATCCTGGAGTTTGCTTTCCATAAGTTTGTATTTTATGATTCTTTTGATATTTTGGCTCAGTGCCTGTTTTTTCCCTTCCATCGAATTCGCTTTCAGCTCCCCTCACAGCTGGTCTCACTCACTAATTAGCACACCTGCTCTTCGTTTGGTGATTACTTCCCTCACTTTGTGTCATTTGGGTTCCTTTTTCAGTCCAAAATCCTTGTCCTCTGTTCCTATTACCTCTTTCTGATGGGTTCTGAAGCGGATTTGAAAGTTTCCTTCCACATCAGTAGTTTTTTTTATGCTAAGTGTATGTGTTTTCTTCAGTCATCAGGCTGCCAAAGTCCTGTATCTGAGTTATCCTGAATCATAGACTGTAATGTAGATAAAACATTTACAGAAAGCAAATTGGAAAAAGTGGCAAATGAAGATTACTGAGCTCCATTTGTATGGGAAGAACAAAAGAAAAGCTTTCCGTTTCCTTGAAACTTAATGCAGAACGAGCATTTATAGTAGCTGACCACAGGGGAAATAAAACCTCATGGCCATCTCTTTGTGTGAAGTCAGAATCTTTGTCCTTAACCCAAGATTTTCACTCCGTAACTAGAATGACCTCGCATCTGGCTTGTCTGACAGGAAAATGTCTGTCCTCGCTAGGTAACAAATGAACCTGAGACTCCAGAGACTCGTCTCACATCTGTTTATCTTTTTCACCTGTCTGTTTGGTGCACTGCATCACGCTGACACTCCTCTGCAGACGCTGTGGATTTCAGAGCATGGCTTTGCCTTTAGAGGGTCGGAGCCACAGCTGCACCATTTGTTAGACTTGGGACTGGGAGCAACAATATAATAATAACATATTGCAATTTGTTAGTCTGAGTAGATAATCTACTTGGGTGCTTACTTTCACTTCTTTTTTCTATCACTTTCGGTTTGCAGTTTGCTTTTTCTGTCTTGAAATAGTTAATTGATTATGAATCATCCATCTTTCTATTATCCAAACAGCTTCATCCTCGCCAGGGTTGAAGGCTGTTGACCATAGGTGAGAGACATGTTGGTCACAAACTCCCTCACACCTAGGAACAGTTTAGTCTCCAGTTAACCCAATATGCATGTTTTTGGTCGGTTAGAGGAAGCCGGAGCATCTGCAGAAAGCCCACATATGCATGGGTAGAGCATGTTAACTCCACAAAAAGCTGCAGCCTCTTTTCACTGTGAGGCAGCAGCACTACCAACTGTGTCACTATGCGGCCCCTAACTTCGAATACGTTTTTATGATTTGAATTAAGAAACCAAGCCAAAAAGAGATCAAAATACAACTTTTTTACAATGATATACTGCTTCTTCAAAATACGTGATAAAAAATGTCCTTCCATTTTCTGTCAGGGTTTTTTTTCTGCCTAAAATAATCAATTTCAAAAAGTCATAGTTTGTGACATCACAAATGGGGAGTTAGCATAGAATCACCTCACAAGCAAAAGAGAGTTGCTGCTGGAGGAGCGGTGGTGCTTCTCCAAGCCCTTCCTGTGTATCAGAGCTTCTCTGCCTATAGCAGCTCGAGTGGGGGATGGATGGGCGCAGCTAGCATCAGCTTGTTTTCTTAAAGTGACAGAGCCCTGAAACAGCTGATTCTGAAGGTACTGAAACAGTCAAGAATAGAACAGCTGAAATTGCTTTACGCGAGAGGGTTTTATTGGAAATAACTTAATGAACATGTTTATCGACCGTAGAACTATAATAACTTAAAGAGCAAGTCACCCCTTACAAGAAGCGTACTCCACTCCCACTTCCTGTTTGAAAAATGCAACAAATGCTGTTGCCTAGCAGACCGAGAGGGTGGAGCCACTAACAAATACACACACTCACGACATTGTGACATCATAATGTACCAGTTTACATCATAGCATACCTCTTAGCCAATAGCGGTGGCAGATTTAAATTCAAATGCAGTGAAGAGTTTTTACCTGACAACGGCACAACACTGACAGTTTCAGGCAGAAAATTTAAATTGTAACTAAAGTGCACTGAAGTGCAAAACTATTGACGACACGTGTCTGCAGCACGATTAGACACACATTTATATAGTTTATCAGAAAAAAATTGTTGATTTGGGGGTGACTTGCTCTTTAAGAAAAAAGTTATGTCAACATTAAGCAAATAATGTAAACACACTTATATACTTTATTTGTTTTCCTATTTACTAATTATTTTCTTCATTTTTGTCAGTTCATATTCTTGGACTTTCTTTAATGCTAAAACTAAAGAACAGAAGGTGAGATTGATGCAAATTGTGCCTTTTAAAGGCTGGAGGAGGCGTTCAACCACAAGGTGGAAGTTCTGTTTTAATGTTGTTAGAAACACCAGCAGTGCCGTGCAGGCCTCTCTAAATCTCCAACTCCAGATTAAGTGTTGGGGTGTATTTTATTGTAAAGTAATGAAAACAGAGAAAACAACAACACAAGTGTATTCATGCAAGCACAAGTAGAGATTTAGGGCTGATCTCAGCCGGGGCACTCCCTCTGTGTTGTGGAGAGGCTAAGAGGTCGAACGAAATGTCAGACACCGAGGCGAAGATGCATAATTGAAACACTGCATTGCGGCTACAGCCGTGCTGAGGGCTGTTTGATTGATTCTGTTTTAGAATACTGCTGTCTTCTCGTGCTCGTGGGGTTTACCTGGGGACAAACCAGGGGGAGAGGGAAAGGTGCTTCAGTGGCACATCTGGGTTTTGGAGTAAAATTGGTGTCATCCATCACACACTGCATTTAACAAATGCTAACGCAGGCCTGGCCGGCAAATGATTCAAATATAAGGCAGTGAACTGGGAAACGCGTCCGGTGCAGACTGCTCAGGGTCTATCAATCAGCCAGTCAGCCCCTTTATTTAACAAGCGAGGGCCACGGACCCTGAGGGCCACACTCCATATTCTGGCTGGTTGGCCATGCAGTGTTGCCCTGTAAAAAGAAGAAATGAGGGAGATGAAGGGAAGAAAGTAAGAAGGACACGGAGGGATTGAGGGTGGGAGGGTGATGGAGGTGCGGAAAAGGTTTGGACCATGTCCCCCTGCTGTGCCGGTGTGCTTCATCTTCTCAGTGCAAGGGCCTGGAACTGCTGCTTGATGGGATTTTCAGCCCCGTAGCCTCCGCTGTCCCAGCATCCATCTGGAGGGCTGCCGCGTACGCAGCAGAGAGCCAGCCTCTCATCGACAAAGCCATAAAGAACAACCCGTAGGCCAGGCAGTGCCACTGATCTGAGGCTCTGCTCAGCGGACAGGCCAAGTCTCAGTGGCACACGTTCCTGTCAGGGACACAGGCGGATCCCTAAACCAGAGCGTGCTCAGTGGAACAGAATACATGCTTTGAGGGGTGGCCCACATCCAACTGCTGACTCCTTCAAATGCTTGGAATACTGGAATGGGAATGAAACGTTGCTGTTTAGCATCAATAGTGGCACAGAGAGGAGAATCTCCCTCTCTGTTACAGAAAAAGCAAAATTATAGATTTCCTTTCTGTATTTATTTATTTTTTGTTGTTATCTGAAAGATTCAAAAGCTACAGAGGAAGTTCCTGTTTTTAACAAGCCCTGTCAAAATAAAAGCACTAACCCAATCTATTACAGCAGATTTCCACCCTGTACAGCGTCTGGAACAGATATCACAGCTGCATATAACTGAAAATTAAAATATGCAAAAACAATCATAATGGGTTTTCATTATAGGATCCAAGTTATGTGCTTCCTCCAGAAACTTGAATTCCTTCATACAGGCTGAAATAACTCATCCATCATGAGTGTGGACAGTATGAAGTAAAACTGTTGTGTTACTCCTAAGGGCTGTGCAGCATCA